ACCTGAGAGCACACTCTGCACAATGTGTGTGTGCGTCTGCACACTCATGCGTGTGCGGCGAGGGGTTATGGGGTGATGGAGAGTCACAGCCTTCAAACGAACACTAACCATTTCCTTCAAAAGGAATCTAAAATGCAGCAGTTCCCATATGTAATTAGCTGAATATATTTTACATTTTAAACAACGATTCACTCGATATGTTTGTAAGGAAGCAGCCTGCATATGCAAAGAGAAGACTTGAAACAAGTTCAAAGGGAAAATGGTGAAAGCTGAGGTAGCATACCGAACATGAGGTACTTATTACCGTCTTGTAGTCGCACGCTAAATGATTCTCCAAACCTACTTTCAGCTAAAAATGTAAGGGTCAATGTCTTTTGAAAAGATGGAGGTTTGATGCACATTTGCACAGTGGATGGCTGGATTCATTAATAAATAAATTTCTATTTGCACCTAAAGTGCAAATGCATGCATCCAATTGTTGTCTGCTTTTGATTCATATATACAAGTATCATCTGAAGATACTATGAGCAAGTGCTTAGCTACAGTGAAAAGGAAGAACTTGCTAACAGGATGTTTGACAGAAGATGGATGGACGAATGAATGGACAAATACCGTTTTGAGTGAAAGAGTGACGCTGCCAGGAAGAAGCTTGATAATGAGGACCCACACTTGAAACCACCAGCTGATGAACTGTGTTCCTTGTTATTGTCTTATCGCTTTCCTTGTTTTCCCTTGACAGCGTCATATCTAATAAAACAAGTCAAAGTTAAAATGTAAACAAAAGAGGCCCAGAGTATAAGATCTTTGGTGACGTCTGATCATGTGCCAGGGGAACAACTTCGCTGGATGTCTGCTGGAGCAGTGAGCAGCTTTCTTCTCAAAGCTATACCACTATTTGGAGTTTGATGGTGATGGAGAGTGTTGGAAATCTATCCAGCTCACGCCAACGTTTGTTGATTTGTAACTTTCTATCCTCTGCTGCTTCTCTTCAATGTGGCGTCCACAGGGTTCAGTTTTAGGCCCCCCTTGGATCTATCTTCAGGAAACATGGGATTTCTTTCCATTGTTATGCCAATGAGTCCCAGATTTATTTTCCTCTTAAAAAGATAAATGGTTTAACAGCAGACTCCCTGTTCAGATGTCTTGGTGAAATAAAGGTCTGGGTGGCTTTGATGAGCAAAAAATAGAAGTGAGGATTTTCGGTGACACTTCTGAGACACTACTATGGTTCCTGGTTCTTTGGCGCAGTACGTTCAACTGAACATTACTAATCTGGGAGTTAAAATTGATGCGGATCTTAAACTTGAAAGCCAGGTCAGGGCTGTTGTAAGATGTAGCCTTTTTCATTTGAGGCAGTTAGCCAAAATAAAACCTATTTTATCAAGGCTGCTTTTTGACACGGTAATCCATGCCTTTGTTACATCTAGGCTGGATTACTGTAACGCACTTTATTGGGTGATGTGTCCATTAGGCATCTGCAGGTTGTGCAAACTGCTGCAGAGCGTCTTTTAACTGGCACAAAAAAGTCTGAGCACATTATCCCCATTTTATTTCACTCCACCGGCTACCTGTACATTTTAGGATAATTTTGAAGTTATTTTATTTGTTTTTAAATCTCTTAATGACTCTATTTTTTCCTAATTCTCTATTTTTAACATGTTTGATTTTATTTTCTGTTTATGGTATTTGTATATGTACAGCACTGTGTGAACTAGGGCTGGGCCATATCACACCGTTCACAGTAATACCGGTATAATGTTGGGCAACGATAAGAAAATGAAATATTGCGATAGAATATGGGTAAAACGCGCATGCGCAGTGCCTTTGTTTTCATACGCACATGGCGGAAAAAGCATGGCGGCGACGGAGAATGAGAAGGGCGAAAGTGGATCGTTGAATGAAACAGATGAACCAGAACTGGTTTGCTGCAACTTCAGTGGTGTGGAACTGGTTTAGCTTTCGTCCCTCAGATACACAACAAAGCACATTTTTGGTAGAGCATGCTAGCGGGCCGTCGTTATTACCGTGTTTTTTGGAAAATATGGCGCACTTAAAATCAATCCTTTGATTTTTCTGAAAGTCGACAGTGCCCCTTATAATCCCGTGTGCCTTATGTATGAACTCTGGTTGTGTTTACTGACCTCGAAACGATTTTATGTACACGGCGCTCGAAAATCTGTCAAATGTTTCAGTACGACTTTGCTAAGCTACGAAGCCGCACCGCTTGATGGATTGTCGGAGCATTAAGGCTATCGTAGGCAGGAGCCTCGTGGAGTGATACGTACTGTGCTTCAACATAATATTACCGTATTGTGTGTGTATAACCTCTTTTTAAGTTTTGTGGATATTCTACATGGTTATGCTGAGGATATGTCGGCCAGTTTCCACTGGAAATGCCTTTTGGTTAAACTGTCAGCAAGGAATTTGCATTTGCACTGTTAAATTTTTATATAACTTTAATGCAAAAAACAGCTGCTTGTAAAAATACATTGATTTTTTTTTTTGCACTAATAAAGTTGTGGAGTTGTAAAGTATTTTGTCTCGTGTCAATTATATCGTCAGTTATATCGTTATCGCAAATTTTCAAATGTATATCATGATAAATACTTTTGGTCATATTGCCCTGCTCTAGCGTGAACCCTGGTTTATTTTAAAGTGCCTTATAAATAAAGGTGGTATGGTATTAACAGAGAAAATGTCAAACTGAAACCTGTATAACATCCCAAAACCTACTTCGATAATTGACTGTATAGGGAAGAAGACGAAGAAGACGAAAAAGAAGACGAAGAAGAAGAAAAATAAGTGAAGACTGAAAACATTTACATCCATAGAAATCAGGATTCCCACTTTAATGGTGCGAGAGGGAAATTTTAAGACCAATTTCCACAAAAGAAAATCTTGAAAATGAAAGCTAAAAACCTGTGAGAAGACATAAGACCTCTATAACAAGGCCTTGAATTCAATGGTTGTAAAAGACTTCAGGGCTTCTAACACTGTAGGAGACCAAGAAGGGATACAGTCAAATAAATGAGGCGGTGACAGCAGGAGAAAAGGGAGACAAAAAGAGGGAAAGGCTACGAGTGTGAAAGAACTGGTGAGCGGAAAAGTAAAGAAAGGGAGGACAGGAGGGAAGTGAATGGATCGAGAGAGCAGAGGTGTGCTCTGTATAGAAAAATGGACGTATCCAGCTGTCCCGTCCTACCCAAAAACCCTTCAAACAAACAACTACAATCAGGGCTGACCACTGTAGCATCCCCAGGCTGCTTTTATTCCCTGTCATTCATTCATTCATTCATCCATTTTTCCTCTCCTCCGGTGCTTTAAGCCTACCAATTATCATCAGTTGCCCCAGACGGCCTCTGTCCTTGTTCCTGTTTCAGCTGGCTTTTCAAACAGCTCTGCATTAATAAGCCAGTTGTTACAAATAAAAAGGGAGGTGAGCGGTGATTATTCAAAGCCCTGCTAAGAGACAGAAAGAAAGAGAGAGAGCGAGAGCCCATGTTTTACACCTAGGGTGAGTAAATGCAATTTATATGAATTGGTATGAAGAGTGATAAAAAAATAACAATAAAGGAGAAGAAGGCTGCGATAGACCTGGAAATGAAAAATCATTCCTGCTAAATACTGAAAAACATCCGGTGATCCTGACAGAAGAGTTAGAATCATCACAGAAGACATCTACAGTGCAGCTAAAGAAAATAAATTACTATGAACACCAGCTTGGGAAAAAATAAGAATGAATGATGAACATGTAGCTATATGAAGGTCACAGCAGATACAAGCAAACAGTTAATCCGAGCCGGACATCTGCAGCTCACAGCCTACATGATGAACATGGAGTTTTAAGCCACTTAAAAAAAAATAATAATAAAAATTTAAAAAAAAAAAAAATCGCATTTTGTAGTTTTGAAACCATCAGCTAATACCAGCTGGCATAATAAGGTGCATTTATAGGCATCCATACAGATACCTAGAAGACAGTGCTAACATACATCTGCAACAGTGTTAAACTATTTATACAAAACAATCAAAAACAAGACCAAAAAGTTTTTTGAGCCATCCTAATGGATCTTTTTCATATGAATGTCCTGCAAATAACGTAACAACAAGCCCTTTTCTACCTGACCCACTGTTCATATTTTATTCAGTAATAAGTGCGCCATTTAAAATGATTTACGTCCCTGTATTATATCATTTTATTCTCTAATGAGCATATATTGGGTCAGTGGGCATCATATGCATTTTCAACTTCAAGAGCCCCAGCTGACCGTGTACCTTTCTTGCCTCTTCTGTTTACATTAAAGCCGGGTCCAGTCAAGTTTCCTGAGAACTGCAATAATCAGTCACACTTTGTTGATGAGAAGACTAAACAAGCAGGCCGTGAATAAGAACAAGGCTGAAAGCAGGCCAATGGGGGTGAAAGGGTGAAGGGAAGATATTTCTGTATACCTACAATAATGTCTTGGGAGCCAATTAGGCAAAGTTACTTGTAATTGTAGAGATTGTTGTTGGGACTGAAGAGGAAAATGTGCAAAAAGCCTAATTAAACAAGAAATGAAAAATAAAGAAAATCACAAAATCACAACTAACAGTTGTGATTAACTAACAGTGTATATTAATCACCAAATTAATATACACTTTCCTGTGCTTTGCATCATCACAGGAAAGTGTATATTAATTTGGCGATTTCACCTCTAATTACGATACAGGAAATAAAAATTTAATGATCCAGCTTAAGAGCTAGCTCATATGTTCCCCAGAAAATAATTTATACTTAAAACACATGCCGTAAATACAAAAATGGTCAAAATGTGGCACTTGCAAATGACTTAACACCAAAACTCTGCACATAACCTGCTCCAGACCAGGTTATGTGTTTAGCCTAAGATGCCACAGTGATTTAACCAGGTAAAATAAAGAGCCACTTTTAAGACACAGAAAACTCAGCCTTCAGGATGGTAATTTTCTTCAACTTGTCTGTGTTTGTAAAAACCACTCACCTGCACACCTGAAGCTCTGAGCAGTGAGCCCCTTCTCCACAGCCAGACAGGTGAGAATACTGAGGAAACTGGTGGTGACCGACTGTCGCTTTGCTCTCTGTGCGTCCCTTTGCCTCCTGTCCCTGGATGGATTTGATCTCAATAGCACCCCTTGGAGACCAGGAGGTCCTACTCCTGGTTCTGTCCCTTCTTGTGCAGGCCTCTGTGTTCTAACTGCCTCCCGCAAGGTCTCCACCCACTCCTGGGCCTTGAGGTGACCATCAGCACGAAGTTTGAGTACCTCTGTTGGGAAAACAGCCTGAAAAAATTCCCCTTTCCCTGTCCATGGCTCTCCATTCTCTAACTCATGATCATGATGAACAGCAATGCAGGACGCCAGCGAGTACTGGAGAACAGGTTGGGACACAGACCCACGGCCTTCTGTAGGGAAGGCCTGGAGAACAGATCTGGTGAGGACAAAAGTGAAAGCCCGCCAGTTGTTCTGATCCGTTAGCTGGTACAGTAGACCGACTCTGAGAACGTCCTGGCACGACTGCGTGAACAAAGGCAGGGTGGTGGGTCTGCTCAGGACAACAGAATTAGGTGGAAGACAGAGCGATGCCTCTGCTGAAGTCGGGGTGTCGCTTTCGCCATCAGGCCTGGTGTCGAGCCCAGAAGGAGAAGGCGAAGACGAAGGTGACATGGGTACAGGAAACTTCACGACATGATGATTTTCTACTCCGCTTTTATGCTGACGATTCTCCTGCCTCATGGGTCTGGCTGCCTGCATCTTCTCCCAAATCAGCCGTCTCCACTCCATGGCTTCCCATTGGCTGGCCGTCCTCAGCTGAAGACGTGTGCTGTTGAAGAAGACAGCCTGGATCGTGCGTTGGTCTGCGGGCTGGGTGATCTGGCCGGGCTGGCTGCAGGGTGCTGGAGAGATGACGCTCTGGCAGTGTGACAGTGAGTAGGCAGTGCCCAGCTGGCGGTTGGCACTGCTGTCCAGAGCGTACAGGCGGAGCTCGCAAGGCGTCAGCTCAACATGGCAGGGTGTCCAGCGGCCTCGCAGCCCCTCACGCTGCTCCATCTCACACTGCTTCACCACACTGCTACTGCTGCTTTTATCAGCTGGACAGGCACAGAAGAAGAGCAGGGGAAAAAGGTAGAAATGAAACAAATGAATAATATATATGTTCAGAACAAGCAGTTGTTTTAACAAGGGCCTTTCCATTAGCAATTTACAACCATAACCATCCAAGTTTTAAATGGGGATCAAAAATGTATGTTTTTAACAATCCCCTCACCATCTGAGGCATGTGACTTTAAGAAGTAAACATCAACCTCTATACTTAACATCTGGCTGTCAAGAGTTCCTTTTGTGGGTGTTGGCAGCAGTATTGTTTGCATGGTTCAAGTTTAGCCTTTCATGCACATAAAAACTTAACATTTTTCATGCCCTACTTCAAGATTAGTAATTTAGTTTCTAATATTTTCTTTTATGTTCACTTTATGTTCCTTAGTTACTTTTTAACTACCCAATTCGACACTGGTTAAAACCAGTCAAGTGAAAATTATTTACATGGGAAACATCTCATGCAATACCCATATGGAAAAGATATATATAAATCTTATAAAGTTTTTATCTGTCTTGTATGAAACTTGTATGAAAAGCATACAAGAGTGAAAACACATATAAGATCCCTTGAAACATTATATAATGAAACTTGTATGTTTTGTATACTTACTAAAAACATATGATTTACTCATGAAAGTGGCCACTTTCATGAGTAAATCATATATGTTTTTACTATTTCTTTTCCATATGGGATAAGCTACTTAAACTACAATAAAGTTTTGCAAAAAAAATTCTGTAATGTGCGTTTCAATACCATTTGATAATCTTTTACCACTGACATTTGATCATGTTTAGGACTAATTAATAAAACAGAGCTCAACAATGCTATCTCTAACACAGCATGACCAGGTGATCACAGAAATAGTGTGTTGAGGCGTGCTGTTGAGAAAGTGAGTGGCGGGAACATATGGATCGACGCCAGAGGAGGCAATTGAGTCCACTGTAACTGCTATGAAGTCAGCTACATGCACACTTTAAAGACTAAAGGTTGGGAGAGATACTGAAAGTGGATTCTTTGTGGTTCTCCAAAAAGTTGATTCTGTTCATCTGGATGTAGTGTTTTGTGGGAGAAACATTTCATCACTCATCCAAGTGACTTCTTCAGTCTCAGCTGACTGCAGGTTTCAATCTTATAAACAGTACATTTGCAATGACTGAAACCAGCCCACTAAAGGAACAATGGACTGGGAGGTCAGTTCCTTAATCTTAATTATGCAAATTCTCATGACCATTGATCAACAACCACTGACCAAAACCCACTGATCAAAGACCACTGATCAATGGTCATGAGTACCATTCACAGAGAGTTGGGGAATGGCTGCAATCACAGCATTGTAAGATGGTGACAGATGTACCCCCTTAGGCCCCCTCCTCAATTCAGAGATGGTCTTTCCCTTTTCACGTAAATGGCCTCCTTGACTTCGCGCTCAAACCTGTCCAGGATGTGTACATCCTCCACATTGAAAGAGTGTCCACTGGCCTGTAGGTGTAAATAGACTGCAGAGTCCTGGCCTGACGAGGGAGCTCTTCTAGTTGTGCCATCCGCTTCGCCAGAGGTTGTTTGGTTTCCCCGATGTATAAATCCTGGCAATCCTCCTGCCACTTAACAGCGTACACTACATTACTCTGTTTGTGTCGGGGGACCCGATCCTTGGGGTGGACCAGTTTTTGGCGCAGCGTGTTTTGGGGTTTAAAAGCCACAGAGAAAAAATGTGTCTCAGCTGCTGATACTCCTGACACATATGGGATCACTACAGGTTTTCGCTTGGGCAGCAGTTGTCCTTCTCTCCTGGATCGGCTGGAGCTTTCTTTAGGTGTCTTTCCAACTTTGACAAAAGTCCAGCTGGGATAACCACATTTACTCAGGGCCTTCTTGATGTGCCGTTCTTCTGCCTCCCTGGCCGCTGTGTCAGTGGGGATGGTGAAACGCTACGTCCAGATGAACAGAATCAACTTTTTGGAGATTTACTTTCCTGGATGATTGAGAATCATCAAGACAATTCTTTGTGGTGTTTTCCTTTTATGGACAGCATCTATAGTGTGAACTCATACTGATAAAAGACCCGGGAGTCTTCAAAGCACTTAAAGAGACGTGAAAACTCCAAGCCTAATTCCAAGCCAATGACCTACCTCCTACCTTGACTTGCTTATGCAGCTTTTTCCTGCCACATTTGTTACAAGTCTAATTGACCACTGGACATATAATCAGGGCCGGTCAGTTTCCTGAAGGAGGTCGCTTATCATAGCCTGACTAATCAGACCTGAGCTTTTGTATTTTGGTCAGAGATAGCTATCCACGGGTGCTCCTCTGGAAACGTTTCTTGTAACGAAGGCAGGAAGAAACAGTATTGTTAAAGAGGTCAGTGGGCAGTCTGCCCCACTTTCCTAATCTGAAGGCTGGAGCCCACATTTTCTCTCAGATAATCCACTGTCTGTTTCTCAGAAAGTTGGTTTCACACTCGTTTTCCTTTTCTCTTTTTTCTCTTTCAGTCTTGCCCTGTGATTATCGTTAACTTTCTCATTGATTAAGGAGGGTTCAGATTAAGGCAGATTTCAGTGACCACAACATCTGCTTGGAAAATGCACTTGACCACAATTGTAGGGACTTACAGCAGATATATGGAGCGCTGTAGTGACAATAATGTTCTTGTCCAGACTTTGCCCTTATATCCAATTTCATTTCTCTAACTGTTTATAACCCAGTGTTAAAACTAAACTAGACTTTAAGCAAAGTGCTGCAAACTGGCATCTACACTATAAAAACAAACCCCAATCCTTTCACATCATTAAAAGAAGCCAACATCAAAGTGAAAAAAAAGCATATATATTTAGTTTTTTTAAACCTACACCCACTTGTCCTCCACTAAAAGAGGAACAGAAAGAACCACTTGCTATACCGAAACTGGTGACAAAGAGGTGAACTTTCAATGAGGCAGAAAAGATTGAGGACTGAAAAAACAATGATTTTATACTGCACCTGTGATTATTTGATATATTATTACAAAATCCATACTGGCTGTGCCTCAGGAACTGAAGCAGGTTATCCACTAATTAGAAGGTTCGTGGTTTAATCCCTGGGTGCTCCAGTCTGCGTGTCAAAGTGTGATTGGGCAAGATACTGAACTCCGAGTTGCTCCCAATGCGTTCATTGCAGTATAAATGTAGAAAAAGTGCTTGTGTGAATAAGTCATGTTGTATAAAGTATTTTGAGTGATCAAGTGGAATACAAAAGTGCTATATGAAAACCAGTCCATTTACCTTGGTTACATTTGCATAGAAAGTACTTCTTGTCCTTAGCCATTAAGATGTGGTCGGGACCTGCTTCACATCAAAATTAATTACACTCCTGCAACAATGGTTACTTACACACGTTAAAACTGACTATTTCCCAAGTGGAACATGCTGAAAACTCAATTTAAACATTGATGTACTCATGCTTTTTGACCTGACACACTTTAACTCGGTAAAGTGTGAAAGACAAGTTTTCTAAATCAATCTGACAAATTGATTTAATTGCTAACCCCCGCCACAAGCAGTCTAATTGGTGCATACTGCATTTTGGTTGAAAAAAAGCTAATTCTCTTAGAGCCCCTGTTAACTTAAGGGTGGCAAGTCCAGTGCCTCATCAATCTTATCAAAACAGCAGCTGACAGTGTCACTCTAAGTCTCTGACTTTGCATGTTAACAAACCTTTTTTGCTAAGGGAACAAATGAATATGCAAATGAAATCAGGTCTGGCTGATTGGCAGTCTTCACGCTTGGGAGGCTCGAGATGAGAATTAGGCATTGTGGTGAGGAAAGCTGCTCTGTTCAATTAGCCTTCATCTCTACCTGGTGGGTTTTGACATCACACACAATAATAGTCTAGCGTACACATTCAAGCCTTCAACCATAATTAACATTTCACTCTGTTGTTAAGTAACACTACTGCCTTTATGTTCATCGAGGTACAAACTCCTGCTTAAAACTACGTGCTGTTTCCAAGTTTCCGGCTATAAGTGAAGACCTATCCTACAAATGTACAAAGGTATACCCTTAACCTATTTTCTAGATCATAGAGCTTATCCTCACTGAGCCAGTACTAGCCTGGAGAGCACTTCAGCTATCGTTAGCCTCTTCCTTTAACCTGTTTTTAACGCTTTTCTTGGACGTTCAAGTTCAAACTCCCTAGATTGAGAAAGGGCAGAATTTCACTCGTGTGTCAAAACTAACTGACATTTATAACAGGAACTGAAACACAGAAAGCATGAATGGACACAGTCAGCAGAAGGCCCAACTAAAAGTAAACACAAGTAGGAATCCAAAGGCTGTGGCTCAAATGGCCAATCTTGTAATCTGTAGGGATTGTCATAATTTCTCAGTACTCTAATAGTCCTTAAAGTAGAAAGAATTAAAAAAACAAACAAAAATGAGGTCTGCTGCAAACTCTGCAGGGTAAACCTAGCATGTCACAAGTCTGCCATGACTTTGTGCAGACATTTGAGTGTGAATCATTTGTT